GATGGAAAACAGAGAAAGGGTGCAGAAGCAGGTAAAGAAGTAGGGATCAGTTCAGAATTCAGAAGTTCAGGTGAGGCATTATGGCACCTCAGATGGACATAGAGGTAGTGGAGACAGAGAAACATAGATTGGATTTGCAATATTTATGAAATAAACAACAATAGGATTTAGACATGGGTTACATATGGTGGGTGTAGAGTGGCGAGGTGAAGGAGAGAAGAATGACTCCCAGATTTCTAACTATTCAATGAATTGCGGGTACTGTTCCTAAGACAGGGGGCACCAGATGAGGAGCACATCAGTGGTAGAGGCAACAGGGAGAATGAGAGTTCAGTTATTCTGCAGATATGTACTTGATCAATGTACATGTATCCAATGCCTGCTCTGTTCCAGACTTTGTGTATATAAAGACAGAAACAGTTCCTGCACACAAGCCACTCACCTTCTGGTTGGCAAGACGGGCAGAAAAAAAAGATTATTATAATCCAAATATCACACAGGCTTACCACCCTGTGGATTCAAAAAAATCATGAACACTAATCATTCTGTGTTCCTATTGTTGCCCATGCAAAATCTCCTTCAAGTAATTTTGGGACACTTCTTGGGACCTTTCACATGTGGTTATAGGACAAAGCAGTGGGGCCAAGTCACTGGCCACACCAGCCCTGCTCTGATCCCCTCTGTCCCTGCCCACTACTCCTACCAAAAGTGTCTTCTATGGGAATGCTAAGAGCAGCTCAGGACTAGAGTGAGGCAAGCAAAGAGAATGGCCCTGAAAATGAATGCCTCCTTATAGTTTGTTGGCCCTGATGCTCTCAAGGTGCTGGAACAGGAACAGGACGGGTCTGGAAAGAGGAGTGTTTTTCCCTAGCCTGGAGCTACATTAAGTCATCTGAGCCCTGGAACAGCACTGCTAATGGATGCAGTTTGAGTTCTATTGGGGACACGCTGAGTTTGAGAGACTTCTAGAACATCCAAAGGGGGATGTCAGGGGTGCATTTGGCTATCTCGATTTGGAACTCAGAAGTCTGGGCTAGAGATCTAAATTCCAGAGCCATGAACATGGAGGAGGAATTAATCATACGGGACCAAGCTCTGCTGAACTCCCAACATTTAAATGCCCTGCCTCCCCTACCACACCACCTGGCAACTTCTCAAATTCATGTCCCAAATTGGTCAGTCACTCCTTCCTGTACATTCCCACAGCAATTTGTACAGTGCTCTACTATAACTTTTCACACTGCTACATGGTAACTCTGTTTACCTTTGTCTCCTTCATTAAACAGTGAGCTACTGGAAGGCATAGACTTTCTTACTCAATGTTGAATCTCCTGCCATTTCACCTGCTACATTAATGAAGACTAAAACGATGGGAAGACAGTACCCAGAATTGATTGAAGGTGGAAAAAGAGGATGCTGCCTACCCTGCTGCTGGGTACAGTCTTTTTTTGTGCCATTTCTACAAATTATCCTAGAGATATACCGATACTATGCACAAAGATGTTCTGTACAGTGATGCTCATTGCACTATGGTTTGCAATACTGAAAAGCTGGAATCAACCAATACTTCTATCAGAAGGGAACTGATTAAAAGCGCTCACTATGTCTACAGGCCATGCTGCCCTGAACAAGCCCAATCCCATCTGATCTCGTGAAGCTAAGCAGGGTTGGGCCTGGTTAGTACTTGGATGAGAGACCACCTAGGAAGACCAGGTACTGTAGGTGTAAAAAAATTAAAAAATAAGGGATTGTAAACTGACGAGGTCCTTGCAATCTGTGAAGTCAACCAAGGGTCGCCTCACCTAAATATAAATAAATAAATATTTTTAAAAACCTTTAAAAACTTTTTTAAAAGTGCTCAATATAATCTAACCATAGAGAAAATGAAGTAGACTTAAATATACTGACAAGATGTCCAGAATATTTCATTGAAAAACAAGTTTAAAAAAAAACAAGTTGAAGATTGTTGGTATAGAATGATGCAGTTTGTGTTTAAAACAAAAAAGATTTGCATATAGATGTGTTAAAATGTCTGGAAGGCTGCACAAGCAACCATCGAATAGTGGGTGTCTTTAACAAAAGGCAGTCAAGTTTGGGGGGGAATTTTACTTTTCACTTTATGCCTTTCTTATGGTTGGATTTTTCTTAAAGCTAGAAGTATATATTTTTGTAATTAAGACATCTTAGAAAAACACTTTAAAATGTTGGATCTCGATTGCCCTGTCTCCATGTATTTGGCACCAAATAGGTGTTTAAAATTGAACAGATGAATTATGCTCTCAGAAGAGAAACTTTCCTGCCCAAGGCTGGGCCCCTTCTTTTCCTGAGAACTGGCTGAGAAGCAGGAGAGGCAGATGGGGCCTATGGATCCCCCATAGGTGGCGCTCACACAAGTCAGGCACACTTCCGTCCTTTCCAGCCAGTCAGTTAGGGACTCACATGAAAGTGAAAGTTGCAATCAGGTACTCAACAAATGCGTGTAATAATAATAACAATGACCTCTGCCACTTATCAAGCATCTACTAATTGCCGGCGCCTGTGCTGCACGCCTTACAGACCTCTCTCTCTTTTAATCCTAACAGCCCTGAGGTAACTATTAGGACCCCTGTTTTATCCAGGAGGAGGAAGCAAAAACTGAGCAAGGTTAAGTACTATGCTTGATCATTCAGCAGGTAAGAGGAAGAGCCAGCTTTGCCCTTAACTCCATTTGAATCACTATGCTCTCAATTGCTCCTGTACACTGTGCCATAGGAACTGGATTACATGAGGAAATAGAGTAGAAGAAAATTAGTCTTTTTGGAACCTCCCCACTCCAAAACAAAGTCTAGCTACAGTCAGTGAAAATGAAAGATTAGAGAGCAGACCTTTCAGATCCACAGCCAACGTGAGCACCCAAAACTCTTTATTAGGCACTAAATGACAATAATTACTTCTGCATATAAGCCCTACTGTCAGGAAGTTTACATTGGTATTTTTTAATGTTCACAATTCTGCAAGGTAGATATCATTACCTCCACTTTATAAAGGAGGAAACTAAGGTTCAGACAGGTTGTGATTTTCCCAATGACACAAAACAAAGACAAGGCATTGCTGGATTTGAATTTGTCTTTTCATAAGGCCATCAGGAGAACCTAGGACACAGTGAACTCCAGACCTCTAGGCTTTCAGGACAGGAATTACTCTTTGCTACTCCCAGGGAAGGGTTCCTCTCTAACCCCCACCCCAACCCCTACAATGGAAGGCTGCTGCAGCTCATACTTAATATGTACAATACGTACACTGCCGGCAGACAACCATCGCTTTAGAGATTTTCTTTTGTGTACCTCACTAGGAGGAAGAGCTCAAACCTCCCTTCAACCCCACCCTTAGAGAAAGTAAGTAAAGGTGTGGCAGTCATCTGCTAAAAATGTTGATTCTAGTAAAGAAACCCACAGATACCACTACCCAGTTCCTTCTTAGACACTTCTTTATCAAAGTTTTATTAGCCTCAGCTCAAAGTACCTCCATCTGGGCATCTCATTACAGAACAAGGACACTTCAGCCATTTGTAACACCACCACCCAAGCAGAATTTTCAAGGACAGCAGCAGAAATGAGTTGCAAGGGACCTATAAATCCTCCTTGCCCCCTTTCCCTTCTTCATGTACCTATTTCTTCACAGTTTGCAACTGGATTACTCCCATTCCTTAAATGTATTGCTGACATTCTCATCTCTGCTCATTTATTAATACTTCCCTTTGCCTGGAACTCATTCTCCCCTAGCCCAAATCTATCTTGTGCTTTTAACTCCAATCACACTTAATATTCACTTATCTTCTGGCACTTGTCACATTACATTTTTTCATCACAATTACTTAAAACATTATTTTATTCTATTTGAACATAAACTACCTTTGTGACCTCAAAGTACTGTACCAGACACTAGAAATATATCTGTATTTTATATATATAATATATATATGTGTGTGTGTGTATATATATATATGTTATGGCGATAATTCTGTTTTGTTCTCATTTCTGTGGGTGATTCTCTCCCCCAACAAGAAGGTGGCCAGTCCTTAATGTTCCCTAGTTAAAGGTTTCTAAGTTTCAGATCCAAAATTCAACAGTTTCCAAGCACCCAGAAGATAAATTCTAGAAAATGCTTTTGAAAAGCATGGGTTTATTTGGGAAAACTGATCGGGAAGGAAAGCGATGGCGTGCTTACAATGAGAGAAGCAAAAATCTGTGTCAGGAAGGAAAGGTTAGAAGGCACCGGGTATATGAGAGTTTGTCCACATAGCACCCCAGGATGAGAAGAATGTTGTGGAAGACTGTCTACTATTTACCTAGGCCTTGAGAGCAGAAGTAAGGGTCTCTCTGAGCAAGTCTGAAATAGTTGATTAGGAAGGGACCAACAGAGGCAGGAGGGTTACCACTCACATCAGAAGGACCCACCCTGATGATGCAACTATCACGGATTAAGGACCTAGCCTCTACCCCACTTTTTTTGCGGAAGAATCTCAGTTAAAGTCCTCCAACAGCCTTCAGTCTTCCCATTGCCGCGTCCTTCCTCAATTTCTCCCTCCAAGCTTCCCTTCCGCATCTGCACCCCTCGTCCCTGCGTCAGAATCTACCTTCTTGACTCCTAGCCACCCCTGTGCCCTATCTCTTCCCTTCTCACGGTTCAGGCAGTCAGTCTCTCGCCTTCCCCTCTTCCTGCCCAGATAGCCTCAATTCTCGCTTTTTCCCCCCTCTCTTATTTCCATACTTCAGTGACAATCCCCCATTGAGCACAACCCCCTTCTACTGCTCAGCCGTTGGTGGGGGCGTGGTCCCGCGAGTAACAGGTCTCCCGCCCCACACTCCGCGGGCCCGCGCGCAGACAAAGACATTCCACAGCCCCCGCCCCTTCTGCGTACTCGGCCCGAAGGGGGAGGAGACACGTGTCCCGCTAGCCCCGAGTCACGTGGAAAAGAAAACGAACGAAGCCCGCGGCCACCCGCGCACGCGCACAAAGCTCTAGCCCGGCGGACTCGGAGGAAAAAGGGGAGCGGAGAAGGCGACTTCGTCGGGCTCAGGAGCGGCGCGCAGGCGCGGTGGCCCGACTGGGGACTTTGTTCTCCGCGGAGAGACCCAAGGGCGGTGCCGGTGACTGGCTGCGCACGCGCGTCGCCTCATTTCCGGTGCTCTCTTTCGCTGGGTCGCTCGGGTCGGCTTCGGTCGCCGTCGCTCCCGCTCTCCCACCCCCGCCAACCGCCGCTCGGGCCTCTGCCGCTACCGCGTCGCTTCCTCGACCCCTCGATCGCACATCCTCCCCGATGCAGCGCCGGGACGACCCCGCCGCGCGCATGAGCCGGTCCTCGGGCCGCAGCGGCTCCATGGACCCCTCAGGTGCCCACCCCTCAGTGCGTCAGGCGCCGTCTCGGCAGCCGCCGCTGCCTCACCGGTCCCGGGGAGGTGGAGGGGGGTCCCGGGGAGCTGCCCGGGCCTCGCCCGCCACGCAGCCGCCACCGCTGCTGCCGCCCTCGGCCACGGGTCCCGACGCGACAGTGGGCGGTCCGGCTCCGACCCCGCTGCTGCCCCCCTCAGCCACTGCCTCCGTCAAGATGGAGCCGGAGAACAAGTACCTACCCGAACTCATGGCCGAGAAGGACTCCCTCGACCCGTCCTTCACTCACGCCATGCAGTTGCTGACGGCAGGTAAGCGAGCCTCCCGGGTCCTTCTGGGTCGCCCGGGCACCCAGGAGCATGGGTGGCAGCTGCTTTGTTCCTCTCGCTTCCCGCCCCCTCGGGACCGATGCAGTCGTGAACAACCCTTCTCGCATCTTCATCTTCAGGAGCCTGGATTCCACATTCTCATCCCGGCCCTGGGTACGAGGGAGAATGTCTAGACTGCAGTGGAGGCCCGAAGGGGACTTGGCGATCTCTTAGCGCAAAGATAATTGATGAATAGTGCTGCGCTCCCCGCCCCCTGACGACTCTTCCCCTTCTAACCTCTTGCAGCTGCCCCGCGCTCCGAGTGCTCAGATTCTTCCAGAAACGAACCTTTATCTCTCCCTTCTTAAAGGAAAGCTTTTTTGACGGCGGGTGGCGGTAGGCGCCTCAACTGAGGGTGTAGGAGGTGAAGACAGCCTGAGCCGGGAGGGACCGTAGGAGGGAGGGCCGAGGTGAGATGGGGTGAGGCTGGAGTGCCCTGTCCAGCGCGCCACGGTCGCTGAGGCCGGGTCGGACTTAGCGGTAACTGGAGTTATAGTTGCTCAGAAGCAGGAGCAACCTGTGGGAATCGACGCTTGAGGTTTTCCGAATCAGATTTCCTACTTAGGCACATAAGATAATTGTTGCAGAGCAGGAAGGTTGGATTTCTTTATTTTACAATGTGTGTTCGCCGTCATTCAAGAAAGGGAAAAAATATAACTGTAGAGACAGTGAAATGGGGTAGAGGGAGGTAAAGGGTGGTTTCCATGACGTTCCCCGTCGAGAGGGACAAAAATTGAGGAAGTAGCACGATGCTTGGCACCTGAAAGGCTTGATCTTTGGGGTTTTTTTCATTTTGCTTAAGTAGTGAAATAGATTAGGAATAGTAGTCTTTGTTCTCTCGCTCCTTTCCTGTTCTACACTGGCCAATCACCTGGTCGCCTTGATTTCTTCCTAAAGCCGTCTGTTCTGCCCTCACTTCTAGTTGAAACGTTTGAATAAGTATTTCTTATGATACCTAAATTTTATTAAGCAAGTAAAAATTCACAACCTTCGACACTGAGTGAATAGTTGGCAAGGTTCATATAATGGACATCGTTAGGAAAATATTTCCCTTTGTTCTCTATCTCCCAACATTGGTAAGAGGTCTTTAAAAACTCCAAGCACGCAATGGTCAAGAATAAGAACATTTAGATAAAGTGCTTACATTTTCGACTCAGTGTTTTGCTGTTCTGTGACACAGATTGATTGAAGCATTGCTATTCATGTGTTCTGGCAAGTTTTTTGAGAGCAAGGAATGCATTTTATCTATATTTTTCATATTGTCTTGCATGTAGCAAACACTAGGGGTTCGAATTTGAAAGCAAGTACATGCAGATTTAGGAGCGTCAGACTAATAAGTGGTAAAGGTTGACTTGATAGTCTGATTTTTATTTCCTCAAATCTTTAATCGGTCCAGGTTGCATTTGTGAGAATAAAATACCAAACTTTAGAACTTTAAGGCATTGTCTTGGGCTTGTAAATTCTGACCCTTAAGTAGTTACATACTCTTGGGAAACTTTCTGAACCTCAGTGACCTCAACTGTAAAGTGGGATGGTGAGTTGTGAGGATTAAATGATGTGTAAAAGGACTAGCATAGTTCCCTTTGACCTATAGTCATTAATAACTTGTTGGCACAGTTTTCTTCTAGTTATAAATCTATGGTACTGAACACTGCAGAAAATGCAAGATATTTTTTGCTTTTCTGACCACACCAGGTGCCCAGTATGTTGTTTATCTTTTAAGGAAAAGATGGTTTTTTGGGATAACTATCAAGAACTATTGATCCTTTAAAGTTATGTGTAATTTTTACCCTTCTCTTACTACTTAAGTCCTGTTACAAGAGAATGCTCTTTAATTTTTTAATTTGGGCTTTTTAATGTCTTTTTTTTTTTTTTTTATAACAAAACCGAAATTCTAATTGGAGAAAGAGGATTAAAGTAATACTGGCTTATTGAAAGAACAGACTTGGGCTCTATGGATATTTCATAGCATGGATAAATCTTTATTTATATGTTGGACCAAGCTTATAAGGTATTAACGAATGATCTGGAAAAGGGATTGTAGAGAAGTCAACCAACTGCAAGAACATGAAATTCTGAGAGAAGACAATACTAGTGTTTAAGCTCTGATAAGATACATGTAACAAAAAATATAGCGAACTCTTACTATGCCAGGCACTAGTCTGAGCACTTTACATCAAATATTTAGTCTTCACGACAACACAGTGAGGTAACAAAATTAGTAAACTGCGTACCAAGGACTTGAAGTGGATCTGAGTCTGGATCCACACACCTAAACCTCTCCACCCCTCTACTACAGTACCTGCAACAAATTGTACTTAAAATTGTTTTTGTACTACTTGGACAAAGATTTTAAATCCATTTGAATGCATTAAATTAGAATGCTAGTTATCAGGGCAGTGATGATAACAAGATACAGAAGGAATCTCACAGAGCAGAGCCTAGCACTTGGGATTGTGACTCAAGCACCTCCGCCCATTTTCAAAGAGGTGCCACAAGACCCAGAGCATTCTTCATCATCCACATAGTTCTCCGTCTCTTTCCCGACTTTACTTTGCACTTATTGGCAGCTGATACATCATGTATTGCAGTTATGTGTTTGTTTATTGACCACCTCTTCTCTTTCACAGCTAGAATGTGAGCTCCACTAGGGCAGGGATCTTTTGTCTGCTTTGTTCATCACTGTATCTCCTATTCCTTGAAGAATGCCACACAGAGTGGCCTCTTATTAAATATTTGAGGAATGGGTATTCGTCTTCATTGCATAATGGGAAAACATCAACACAATTCTAAGGGATTTAGGTTTTGAATATAAACTTTTATATTAGCCAAACTGATACTTAACTATGATGACAGAAGTATTTGCAGACATGGGAGGACTCAGTATACCCATGCTTGTTTTCTGAAACAAAAATAATTTATAATTTGTGTTAAATATTTACATAATAAACGTAAAATGCTTTTTCAGTGTTTTTCTACTTTCTACTATTAGGAAAATATAAGTTAGTGTAAATAACTCAAGAATAAGTAAACATTTGAATGGAATAACAATTCTCAGAAGATCTTGAAAGGATACTCAAATCCATCTTCCAAAGGCACTCAGTGGGAAACATTTACAAAGTCTGTCGAAACCTCAGGATAGTTAATTCATTTATTTTATTTATAATATACTATAGAACGTTCATTCTATAGGGCTAGAAAACCTATTTAAACCAGAAAGGGAAATTGAAAAGAAATTATAGACCAAATGTTGGTATAAGTATAAATATTAGGAAAGAAAGTTAGAAGCTGTCACTATTTGCAATAATATAATGGTTGTTTACCCAGGAAGGTGGTTAGTGATGTGGCTGATTACAAAATAAAAATGCGCAAATCAGTGGATTTCTGATCTACAGGTATTAGTGAGAAAAGAATTGGCAAAACGATCTCATTTTTAGAATACTGTCATATGCCTTGAGATAAGCAATAAAAATGATTTCAAAATGTATGTGAATAATCATAAAGAATAACATTAATATTTAACCTTTGTAGAGCATATAACATGTGCTACGAAATGTACTATTCATAATTTACATCTTCCTGGCTATTCTGTGAGGCAGAAAGAATTTATATCTTAATATTACCAATGCAGAATATTGTGATCACATATTGTCAACTTAAAATTTTTTTGAAAGTGATAAAGGAAGATCTGAATAAAAAGAGAAATATGCCATGTCCTGAAGTGGGGAGTGTGGGGGCGGGGAGGAACTAGTGTAAAGATGACAACTTTTTAATTAACATGTTGCTTTTTTGCTTTTCTAAACTTAATTCCAACTAGATTTATTTTTTGAACTTGACATGTTGAATATAAACTAGTTTTAAAGAGTAAATGAAGATAAATGAGAAAAAAAGTTGTTGGAGACCAGAAAATGATGAAAACCTGCTACATTGACAAAAATTCAGTCAAACAAGACTTAGGGCTTAAGAGGATGTGAATTAGAAGGAACTCTAATTCCGCTTTGCTGGTGGAAGCGTGAATTGGTACAACCACTTTTGATAACAGTTTGGCATTTTATCTGAAATTTGAACGTTCAAATTAAAGTTTAGCAGCAGCATTCCTATGCTAATACCCAAAGAAACTTTGCACATGAATACTTCATTCATAAAGTGGTATACCTTGTTCACAAAATGGTACAACTTGTTTCACCATTGATTGGATACTATGAGATTTTCGAAATGAAATATTTACACAGCAATGAAAATGAAAACTATAGCTACATGCAACAACATGGAGAAGTCTTGGAAATCTAAGATGAAAAAGTAAATCCCATAAAGCTACATACATATAGTACAATACTAGTGTTATAGAACATAATATTAGTAAGATTAAGCAAAATCGTATGTATCTGATAAAGCAGTTTTTTGCAAAACTAAACGTGTCTACCATACGACTCAGCAATTGTACTCTTAGGCATTTATTCCAGAAAAATTAAAACTTAGGTTCACATGATACCCGTACATGAATGTTCATAGCAGCTTTGTTTGTAGTAGGCCAAAACTAAAAACAAACCATATGTCTCCAGTAGGTGAGTAGGTAAACTGTGGTATATCCTTACCATGGAATACTACTCAGCAATAAAAAAAAAAAATGAATTTAATGTTTGCAACAGTTTGTATGAATCTCAAGAGAACTATGCTGAATGAAAAAAAGCCAATCTCAAAAGGTTACATACTGTGTAATTCCACTAATTTAACATTCTTGAAAAGACAAAGTAATAAATGGAGAACAGATTAGTGGCTGCCAGTGGTGAGGGAGAGGTGGAGGGAGGGAACTGTGGCTATAAAAGTGTAGCCTGAAGCACCCTTATGATGGAATTGTTCCATACCTTAACTGGTGGTAGTGGTGGTTACATGTTACATGATTCTGACTAAATTGCAAAGAACTAAAGATGCACACAAATAAG